TTTGTTAACTATTACTAGTATCTAAATTTATGGATAGGTGATATGATCTCTTTGACTATTTTACTCGCCAAATTGTGATTAGAAAGATAATCCGATTCGCTCACAGTTCCACGTAAAAATATTAATAGTTTTGATTGTGAGTTTGAAAAGACTCAAAAAGCAAATTTTCTACTTAAGCTGAGCTTTCACATTGATTGATTTCTAATACAGTTGGAAGATTCAGACAACAATTTAAAATATACAAGAGCATAGGGGCCACAACAAAAGTTTCCTTGAATACTTTTCTTTAGTTACACTATGGCCCTACTTTTATTTTATACTACTAACTTAATAATATTTCTTCTCACAAAGACACAAATTACTACAATCAAAGCTTGATAACAACAACATAATTAATCCTATTATTAATCGATAAAAAGGTCGAAAATAACTTAATTAATTTTTTTTTGTTTAAAAAACAAGAAATGAAAAATTCACACTTGGGATGTTTTCTTTCTTGTTACCGTCTATGACAAAACCGAACCAAGAACTAAGAGTTTTACTGATGATATATATCTGTAAAACTATAATGATTGTCCACTCTTTTTTTTTAGCATTTATTCGCTGATAATCCGATACGATTATTCGCTAGATCGTATGTGACACGTATCCCTTGCTGCTGCACGTTCCCGATGATTGACAACGAGGACGACGTCGGAGCAAAAGCGAAGCAGAAAGTTCCGGCATCATCAATCGGAATCAGATAATTCTTCGCCGGCAAATCAACCGATTTCCCTCCGGTGAAATGAAACGCCACGGTCGGTACTTTGACGGTGGAGAGAGAGGAGAAATCATAACAAGTATCAAACAGAGAGATTGTCGAAGTTCCCTTCTTGAGATTCGAAGTGAGTTTAACGAACGCGTCACGTAGCGAGTTATAAGCCTGAGTCTGAAGACGAGTCACGGCGGTTCCACAGTCCAATATCACTCCTCCGGTACCGGAAGCGTCGACTTCGAACACCGACGATGGGATCGAGACTTGTTGACCACCGACACTGAATCCGCTTAGTCCGACGTAGTAGAAAGTATCGATCTTGCTGTTACGGAGAAGCGGAGCCGTCGCGTCTCCTATACCGAGTTGGACCGAGTTAAAATCGAGACTCGACGATTTAGCCGAGTCACGATCAACGAGGCAGTAAGAAAACGACGTCGCTTTGATCTGATTCGTCATCGATAAAGGTCCACCACCTAAACCGAGTAAACCGGCTGCTCCCCTGAATAAACCTTCGTTATCACGACCACAACCCAAAGCGACGTTGCTTATCTTCCCGGAGTTACCAAACGTCACCGTATCAGTCGCGTAATCTCCGACAGTGAAAGATCCATCGCCGTAACTAACTTGATAAAGACATTTGTTTGAACGACAAGCGGAGACTTGGAGAGAAGCACACTGTGGAGCAGAGCAAGTTAACGTTTTGAAAGTTGAAGACGAAGTCGGGTCAAAAATCGGGTCGGATTGTTGGTAACAGTCGGAGCAAGGTTGACACTGGATCCAATTCACGTCGCTTCCGGTGTCGAGCACCATGAACATCTCTTTCGCCGGAGTTCCGACTCCGATTCGTGAGAAATACTCACCGCTTCCTTCGCTAGCTCCGGAGACGACAGGTGTACTTAGATCCTCGGGTTGGAGTCGGGTTTCGTCGTTGTAAACGGGTTTTAGATCGGATCTGTCGATACCCTCGACGGCGAATCGGATTTTGGCGGTGATCCCGGCGACTCGGGATGAGTCACGCTCGAGTCGGCTCAGTACGAGGCTTTTGTAGTCCTTGTGCTGTGACGCGACGAGTGTGTCTCGGGAGTGAAGCTCTAGAGAGAGTGGAGAAGATGAGTTGAGGAAAACAGGGTCGGATTCGGATTTGGATTCGAATTCGTGTTTAGTGGTTGCAGTGAGTGAGGAACGAGTCGGGTCGAGTGAGAGGATGTGTTGTGTTTGTTGGAGAGATGAAACGACGTCGAGTACTGTCGTTTTAGGTGAAGTAGAAAGAGAGCGAGAGGAAGCATCGGTCGTGGTGGTGAGGAAA